AAATGTATATTTTTCAGAGATTTTTATTTTATATTCTATCTGGCACGCGAAGGACTTATCAAAGCTCTGTGATTACACCAAGTGAGTTTTCTGATGAACCGACATGGCATTCCAGCGAATAAACCTTTGAAGATCGTTATGTATATATTCTCAGAAATTGATATACATTTGAGGTATTGAGTTTATCTGGTCATAACGCCAGGTCGTTCGAATACGCTCTCAATATAATCACAGTTTAATTATAAGTTACGTATATGAGGAACGGATGAGGATTAAAATATATGGAAATACATTATACAGACTTAAAAAGACATAATTGACATTTATGTAAAAAATATATCAATGTAAAGATATTACCAGTATTACTATTGATAAGCCAATAATGAATCTACTGCAAATATTTATGCAGATTCATTTTAACTTTATAGAAGAACTTTTATTTAAAATAGATGGTATTGTAGATCAGTATAATTTAATACATGCCTATCGCCATTATTTCAGATTTTTCTATCTGTATAAATCTAAATGAAATGTAGAAGATTATAAAACGATAAACAATTCCTACGCCATTGCAACTTCCCTAAAATCACGGTCGTTGAAATTTAAAACCGTATACTTATATTCCTCGAGCAATGTCGTCTGTAAGGAATATTTCATTATTACGAGATAAGTTATTTCTGCTATTGCTATCTCCTCAAAATTAAACACGCATATTAAAAGGAAATAAAATATAGATCAGAATGTAATACGACCAATTTATATTCATTGTACAATTTTACTGCGAACGCAATAGTGAACAGAACTGATGAAACTATAAAGCGTTGATCCGCATTGAAATTCATCGGGGAATGAGTCCTACGCCATTGCAATCCTCCACTGTAAAGCCAGCGGGGTGCAAGTGGCCGATTCTTTCATGAACGAACATGTGGCGCACAGACAGAAATTCTACTGGGTGCCCATTTCAAAGAAGACTCTACAATTTTCCGAATCCTGAAAATCTTCCATTCAGCAATTATTTGTTAATAGAAAAATAATTGCAATTTTAATTAGCTACGCGAAAAATCATTTGCAACCGACAATGAGGAATAGTTTAGAAGATTATCTAACGGCATACGTTATTACGCACTTCCAATATTAGCATTCTTGTAACCAAGACCCGCTTCTATGCATTATGTTGTAACCTTTACTGTATTGTACAATACATTACATTGAAAGCCACTCGCCTATTTTGAAATCTATTCATAAGTCAAACGGAAAACCTAATTGAAACGTTTAATCGAAGGAAATTATTACAGCCATTAACACTAGAACTACAAGATGGGTTAAATAGCATTTATAATTTTTATTTTGCAAATATTTAAATTATGGAGACGTTTTATCAAGAGATTTTTAAGTAAACCTGTGTATTTGCACAGATATAGGAATACGAGACTCCACAAATTTCAAGAAACGTATTGTTTTAAATTATATAAAAAAATTTGAAATAAGTCACAGTAATTGCTGAGTAGTTTTAACGTTAAACAGAAAGAAAACCTATCGACGAAAAATAAAATATATTCACGCTCGAACGCTGTGTCTCGCCTATGTTTCTTTATTGTACATGTTCCGAGAATTATCTCATCACGCACGCATCCTGATAGATAAGGAAGTAAAATGGAAGAAGATAGCTAGTGGGACTGGAAGAAAGACAGCGACAAACATTGAGGACGTGTTAAAAGTTCATCGCGGATACTAATGAATGAACTCTCTTTTTCTATCTGCAATGACGAAATTCGCTACAAGTTTCTACACTTCTATCCCGTGAAGAGTTAAAGTGGTCAACGGTAATTTAACCCTTCGTACTCTATAGGCTCTATTATAGAATCATTTATAATATTAAATATTTTAATTATCAAAAATATAACATTAAAAATTTTAATGAAAAAACTACCCTAAGATTATTGCGTTTGGTAAACACTCAAATTTTGTTTTAAAAAAGAAAAGATAAAATCTGAGAAATGTTATAATATAACATTCTTTAATATATAAAAATGGCTTGCAGTTGCTGATATGTTGTGAAATTGACCGAAGTGCTAAGGGTTAAGTTACATTATAAAACTCACAGTTAGTCGCGGAGAGCATTATTCACCCTTTGCGGACGAAGATTCTTTGAAATATATGAAACCTTCAGCAGATGAAGCTAAATTATACATCAATTGCTTAGGTAATAGAAAAAACAAAAACTGCCTGTTGATCTATCGCTGTTTGAGTAATTGAATCCTTTTTTGCGACTTAGGGTTAAAACAAATCAGTGTAAAGCGTTGTTGATTTTTCAATTGATACTTATTGATAGGAGAATGTAATGAAGATTCGTTTCTTGATCCTACCTAGATGAAACGTGATATTGACTTGATTCGGATATCCGATGCCTTCGTACATCGTTTCCGACTGCCACCAAGTCGCGTTGTCATTGTTATCGTGGTCGGTAAGGAACAGGGCAGGATGATCACCGAACCGACATATCTCGCAAGACTTCTTTTGGACGCCAGTCTGTTTACAAAATTCGATTGGCCTGTCTTGGCCACACGTGTTCGTTGCTTCCATCAGCACGTTAAACGCTGCATTCTCAAAAGGCGGTATACATCTCTGCAACCCGAAACATTAGAAATAATTTTCAATTAACACGATCCATCAACTTGTTTTATAATTTACTTTACTTTGAGGTGCGCACCCTAGAATATTTTCATTACTTTATTAGTCATAATATTATTCAAGATATCAGAAATGTTAGAATGAATTACACAAAAATATTAATGATTTTTAGTTTCGTGCAAATTTTATCATTTTCTTTAAATAAAATAATAATTATATTTTTTCGAAAAGCTTAGAAAGTACGTAACCCCTCCTCCTGTAATATAACATTTTTAACAGAATTTGACAAATTTAAATATTATTTATTTATTTTTAAGTGTAATATTTCTTGTTCATTGTCAATCTTTAGCTTATTCAATAAACATATACATAGAAAATAAGCATTAAATTCCTTTCTTTTTTTTAATTCAATTATTTACTATAAAGTAGTTTTATTAAGCATAGTTGTGAGAGAAATCATAAGATAAGGAGTTAATGATTTTTTTTTCTTTCTACGCATCGTACAAGTTAACAAATATAATCAATTTTTAAACGTTAAATACATAAAGAGTAAAGTGCTTGAGACAGGGACGAAGGGATGGCATTATTACGGGACCGTGTATCGGGTGGTCATGCATTGTATTCAACTAATAGCAGGTAGTTTTGTTCCAAACAGTTCCGAGAACAATTTCTACAGGGACATCCTTTAGAGGCTTCCAAGCGATCTCGAAAAGTTTTGCAACACCAACATTTTGAAATATAAATTCAACGAATAAGCCGTCAATTCGTAGAAAGGAATTATTTTTCGCAGTTCTGAATTCCATTTGTATTTAATACTTATAGTTTACAAACAAAAGAATAAAAATTTCTTTTTCCAATTTATGTAAAATGAAAAATTCTTTAAACATTAGTATGTTCGTCTATTTTTATCTTTCTGTCCCTATCATCGAACGTTGATGTAACTTCGAACTTTGGTTTGATAACCTAATGTAATAATATCCTACAAAAAAGTCGGAATTTCGATGACTCGGAATAAACTGGAGATAATTCTAGCTTATATTTATATTTATGTGGTAGTGTTGTATAAAAATTCAACTAAAATATTAAGTCCGTAAATAGTGATTGTAATATTTAATATAAGTCCGTAACGCGTTATCAATAAAATATGTTTAATAAGCTATTGCTAAAACAATGGTTGCATACATGTATATGTGTTATATGGTAAATAAAATAAACGAAAATAGAAATAGTACGAACCTGTGGTTTTCCATTGTCATCGTAACATTTATCTTCCTCTCTGTTTTTTGTAAATCGACTATAAAGATACTCTTCTGAAGGATCGGGTTCTGCTAGTACCACCACCATGGAGACAGCGAGTAATATCAACATCTTCTTGTGCCTTCCTCTCGTCATATTTAAAATTCGTTGGATGATCACGCTTTATTTTAATATCGGTACACTTTCTTCGGTAAAAATCCGCAGTCCATTTGTAACTTTTACTTCCTCCGAATTTTTTTGTTTAATGTTAGAGTGAACACTTTTCCTCGAGTTAGGTCATCGGCAACAATGAGACCCGCAACAATCGCTTTGATTTTTTATTAGCAAGACCACATTCCGCGGGCTGTGCTTCCTTTATCTATCTAACGTTTAATAATTTTAACATTAGTTTTCTAAGTAATTAATCTTTCGCGATACCAAATTAACACTACACACTAGTTTTTCTTTCCTTAAAAATTGTTACTTAAAGAGAAGAGAACAGTAAAAATCCTACAATTATAAGATTTAAAATTTGAAAAAGATTATTTATTTCAGGATTTTAAAAATACAAACATTTTTACTGTTAATGAGTGAATATTACATAAGTAAAGTGGAAATGTCAGAAGTCTCAAATTTTAACTGAAAATAAGCTTCGTACAATAAGTTTCTTTATAGGTGGCGTTTAAACAGATATTACCAAACACTCGTGTAAATTATAAAATCCCGGCAATTCTAGAACTACGTTCAATGATGCTTTAAAAATTTTTTAAATCCTCTTTTTTCTGAATTGAATGATACTGATTTACATAAATACGTATATAGATGTTTCTCGATATTACATTTCATGGTATAAATCACTAAACGTAGTTTGAATGAATATATTTATTCGATAAAATTCACGAGTTGATATTGTCAATTGTATCCACGATCATGAACGAAAGTGAACGAAAAATTTTAAACTAGAAAAATTCTCGCGCCTCGCACAAAGGGAGAAGCAATATCTGCTGATTGTTCACGTTCACATGCGGATGCAACACGGACCAACTACAAATTATTCACCAATTTAGAAACGAACGTAATTTGCGCGATGCGCCGCGAATTTCTCAAATTAAAAGAGAAAATTCTCATTCTAACCTCTTCGATCGACAGAAAACTGGGAAACTGCGAAGAAAGCCACTCTCCACGCGACGGTTCACCGAGAAACTGAACGAGAGGAGTCGTGAGTGAGCCTGTGGGGAAGTCGAGTACCCGATGCCAGGCATTTGTGGTGGTAACACGTCGCCACTCGGGTAGAGTAGAAAGTGCAGGCCAAGAATAGGCCGAGAAAAACAGCGATGGCATCGTTTTAGGGTTACAAATTATACATTGTTATTGTTTTGTTATTGCTGTTGTTACTATTTTTGTTATTATTACTACTACTACTACAACTACTAGTATTACATCATTACCAATAGTAACATACGAGTACGGGTACAATTATTACTTAGTATAAATAATATACATATCTAGTAAATATAAAATTATTTAAATTTACGTTTTTCGTAATATAAATAATTTTATCTAATACCGCGATTGAGTAGATTTTAGATAATTTAGGAACAGTTTTTCTTTGATGTTATTATTTATTTCTCAGTTTCAGTCTTATTAGTTCATTGTTTCATTCACACTCATAAACAACTGAATCGGTACATATCTCGCTAAAACGGAAGCAAGAAAGAGATTACTCAGGAAGCGATGGCTTTTTCCTTTTACCCCGTCATTGAATAATTTTAGATGTATTCACGTAAATATTTTTAATCCTAATTTTTATTCATTTTTTCCTGCGCCAATAATATTGTAACCTTCATTGGTGGTGAAATAAAAAATTCTTGAAATTTTACGAAACTCGTAAAGAACAAGTATATTACCTTTAACTGTACTAAAGTTAAAGAATAAATTTTTAAATATTTATGAACATAAAATCCGTTTCGATATTTGTCCGTGTGTCTGGAAAAATTGTCTAACGTTTAAAATGTATTGCTCATCATTTGAGAAGCATTAAGACAGTTATCTTTCTACCAGGAAATGTGAAGTGATATCATAATATCACCCACACGTTTATAATTCCGTTATTAGTAGACTACTTAATCATTAATAAAAATTCGTTAAAACCTAAAAGTTGGATTGCTTTTTAATATACAATTTAGTTTAAAGGTATTTAACAAAATTTAAGACAATCGTTAGAAGTTATAAAAGCAACGAATTTCGCATGTCC